GCGGGAGAGAGGTGTTGCACAGCGTCTCGCATCTCCTTGCGGCGGAGGGTAGCCAAGTACTCGTCAAATCGGCGGAGCATGTTGGCCAGGTAAGCTCCCCTCGACGGCTCGGCTGGCAATGTGTGCCCGTTTTTGACGGACAACATGCATATGGCCACAACGGTTGTTATGATTTGAATGGTGGATACAGGGTCGCGGTGTGCGTATACCGTCGTGAGTGCAGTCTGCATGCATACCCAGTCTATGTCGAATTTCAGCTTACGCCCCTTGCGATTGAAGCGATCTTTGACTTACTGTGAAGGTCGCGCAGACGATAGAGCTCGGTATGCGGCGCACACTCGTATTTTCTCGCCTCCTGCATCATAGGTTCAAAGTAGTCCCTGTCCTCCGCGAGGAAGTCGACCGGCATGTAAATGTTCTGTACAACATCCAATGTGGCCCTTCGTTGTTCCGGAGACAGTCGATCATTGTCTAGATGCTGAAACAAAGTCATGCAGGCCTTGCTTCCATCGGCGAGAGGCATAGCGCGAATGAGTCCGGCTAAGCAACGGTTGGAGTCCAAGTCAAGAGGGCTGTCATCAAGTTCTGTGTGCGCGCGGGTGAACGTGTCCAGCGCCATGCGACCTATCAAAGCCGTAGAGGTGCTGTCCAAACCATCGGATTGCAGTTGACTACCAGATGCCGACACAGAGGGTCCGGATGCCTGTGAACGCGGATTCTGTCGTTTTGACAAGGCGTCGAAAATAGTTTGGCCGATCCCCGTCACATTTTCGATTGCTCGGGCAATAGGCATCGCCCGCACGCAGGTCGCCATCGCGCGAAGGACGTCTGTGTCGTCTGCAATGGAATAGATGTCCTTTAATAGGGACTTTGCTTCGCTGCGGGTGGTCCAGTCGCCCAAACATGACTGTTCATGTGCCAGCCAGTCAGATGCGTCCATCAATGTACGCACGTACGATCGACGCTGAGGGAGTGAATGATCGCGGATCCTTTTTATCCGGTGGTATATGCGCTTTACGCGATCGGACCGAGACCTAGTCAGAGAAATAATCCAGCCGTCGACTCGGTCGACGAAGAGAAAGACCGTCCGACACAACTGCAGGAGGACCCAGTGAACCACCAGCCACATGGGTTTGCAGGCCTTGCGGATCCACCACGCTTGGGGCGACTTGTAGGCACTGTAATCGACTAATGCGGGTGACACGGAGGTGAAAGCCAGAAAGAGAAGCAAGGCACCGACGAAGACCGTGCTCGGAATGGCGATGTCGAAGCCAAGCTCCCAGAGGTAGCCCACAATCCCGACGAGGAAGAGGACGAGGGCGACCTGCAGGAGAAACGGAAGGATGCCGACCATGAACTCCACTTTCCACTTGTCCATTGCGTGCCTACGAAGCTGCCACGTCCAAGCCTTCTGGGCAGCGTCTTGCAGCCCAGCTTTCTCTGTCACGTGGAAGTTCAGCCATTGGTTCACGGCTAAACCGACGGATGCGGCACTGAGACTGAAGACCAGGGCAACGAACCACAGCGCAGCAATCCAACGGGGTGCAGTGGGTGGCGAGGGTAAGTTTGTAGACGAGGAGTTCGTAAGAACCGTCGGCATCGGCATCAGCACCGAATTCGAGGAGCTGGCGGCCGCGACAATGGCGTTCGTAGCCGTGTTACCGAGTTGTGCGGATAGTATGCGCTCAAGGATGGCCGTGTTGGGGTCAGCTGCTGGCAGCAAAACAGCATAATACTGAACCACGAAAGCGGTGAGGACTGCGGAGAACAAGCCGGCCTGCAAGGGAATCATAATTATCTCGGTTGCTCTTCGCCAGATCACTATGTAGAACGGAGGCGTGAGCGTGACTCACAAAGACGAGGAGTGTGTTGATTTCATTCCGCCATCGTTCTGCACGGTCCTTTTCGTAGGTCCACGCTGTATCTGCCAGCTTCAACCACGCATCTGGCGCTGTTTGCGGCTCCCGTGGCTTCATAAACTCCTCGAATACTTTGAACAAAGCGGGTTCATCCATCGTAGCCGACGGCATTTGCGGCTCCCGCGTCTTCATAAACCTTTCGAGTACGTTGTATAGAGCGGTCTCCATTTCTGAGGGCGTTGTCGCATCCTTCGCCGAGTGGTCTACCGACTCAGGGGATTTTTTCGTTCCACTGGTATCCGACCGCTCATTCGAACTCTTCTGACGTATGTCAGATATTGACACGCAGTTGGATAATTACTGTTCACGCTCACGTCATTTGGAGCTACAGGCATTGTGTCATGGGGCGACGAGGAGGTTGCCGTGGTACCTGTGCCGCCGACCGGGCTTGATGCCTGTGTATACAGGTAAGTGATCCTATTCGCTCTTCAGCTCCGCTTATACTCACTGGCAACCCAGACGCAGAGCCAGAGTTTTCGCTAGAACTCGTTCGATGGAAGGCTATATTTGGCGAGGACGTTGGCTTAGGGTCGAGAGCCTCTGGGTCTCCTTCGATACCTCGATTGTATCGGATAGAAGAGTGGTCCGACGACTGCTATGCAATACACGGATACAAAGAAATATAGTCAGCCTTCCTGCTGTGCCAGCGAAGAATAGCAGTGCGCACCTCGGACGGGCCCATGACGGCGTCGGATGATGATGAGTCTAGTCTAGAGAGATGCAACGGGGCCGAAAGAGCGAGAGGACAGGGCAGGGTGAAAGGCAGCTGCATGTGGTGGACTCAATCACACAACCTCACGTAGCTCAGGGTGGGGGACGCGACGACTCGGGGCTGTCCACAGAAGCGCACCGAAAAGTGGCGCATTGCAATTGGCGACGCGATTGAGGACGTATGCCACCGATTCCGAGCTTGTGGTGCTCTGATGGACAGATACGCCGCTGAGTGTCGAATCGACAAGAGTCCCGACGGTCGCAGAGTGACATGTGAGGGAAGATACATGCCATAGATTGCGCTATAACGGCGGTTCCGGGGCAACATCAATGTACCTACAGGGAAACCGTGGTTGGGCCAAGGGGTACAGAGGCCTACGTGTGGTCTTTGTCAATACACAACGAATACTGAATGGTTGTATGCGTACCATCCCTCTGTGCGACTGGCGGTGAACATCGACAAGAGCGCATAACTCACCAGTCATGTTCCCAGCCAATATGTTGGGCGGCACCCCAACAGCAGTAAGCAGGCTTGCGCGGCGGAGACGACCAGGAATGAGACATCCGAGCGCCTTCGGGACACACTGAGTTCTTTTACAGCTACAGTTATGCCCACGGCGCAGATCCGGAGCAGAGCCGCATCAACGCTCACACCAAGCAGCACTTTCTCACCGATCCTCATCCTACAGCCGACGCGCAGTCTCGCGGAACACCATCGCATGAGCCGACGGCGGCCGACGCGTCGGCTTGTACGATGAGGATCGTGCAACCGACATCAGTAGGTGTATAATGCATTTGGCTGGGCAGGATGTATACAGTACGGTATACCGTAGTGATCCTAATCAATACTTCTATGGTCGGCTGGGCTCTTCTTGCGTGCTCAAAGTGTCGGCTGGCGCGGTCAAAGCGTCGGCTGGCGCGGTCAAAGCGTCGTCTTGCTGGTGAATGCCTGGCCGTGATGCGTCCGCGATGTCGTGCTGGTACAACAGTCGGCTGGGCTCTGCAGAAATGTATGCTCAAAGTGTCGGATCGCAGTGCGATCGTGACGCACTGCAGCGCGGCGCGTCACAATCGAGCACGCGTTCAGACGCGTTCACTCGGAAACTTCAATGTTTCAACGCGTCAGCTCTCAAGATCTCACTCTCAGGCACCACATTGCCCTCTGATTCACCAGGTCGCCTGTCCACCGCGTCGCTCGCCGTCTTGCCCGCACACCGTCTTGCCCACACACCGTCTTGCCCACACACCGTCTTGCCCACACACCGTCTTGCCCGCACACCGTCTTGCCCATCTACTACCGTCTCACCTGCCGTCTCACACACCCGCCGTCTTACTCACCCGCCATCCTGCTTGTCCACCGTCTTGCACGTCCTGTTTGTCCACCGTCTCACCCGACCACCCTCTCGCGTGCATCCCATTTTGCCTGCCAGTCATCCTATTTTCCCACAGTCTCGCCCACCTGCCGCCTTGCTCACCTGCCATCTCGCCAGCCTACCGTCTGTCTGGAGTGCCACCAGCAGCGCCACAAGGGCGCACGAAAGCGCCATGAGGGCGTTAAGACGGCGGCGATGCGGGCAACGCGAGCAGGTGAGTACCCCCACACACGGTTTCAGGGCGACACCGTGCGAGGACAGTGCACATAGGGCAACTGCGCCGGATGCAAGCACGGTCAACAAGTACACCGCGCGCGCGGGAGCAGCGACGAACCAGGAGGAGGGCGAGAGGTCGGTGCGCACAGGTTACGGCAACGTACAAGGACAGCCTCCCAGACAGCGCGAACGCGAGCGGGGTGGGGGCGGACGAGCGGTGAGGCGGGTGAGCAAAAAGGCGGATATGCGACGCGGCGATGTGTCGCACGACGGGCACGACGGGCAAGGGGCATTGCCCGCCACGCGTGAGTGCAAACACACGCGAGTGAACTCACTGACCGCAGGCACAGGAAGCGGCGGCGACGCAGCACGACGCGCACGACGACCACGTGTACCCAGGGCCAATGCCCCGTGCACAGACATGGCCGATGAACGGCGGCGGGCGGACGAGCGGGCGGGCGGGAGCGTACGCCGACCATGCGCGCGCTGGGCAACTACCCAGCACGCGAACACGGCGAACGAACATGCGCAAAGCGGGCGCGTCAGCGGGTGGGTCAGCGGGTGGGCAGGTGGGCAGGGGGACGGGCAAGTAGATGGGCAAGACGGCGACTCGGAGCAGCCAGGCGGGTGAGCGGACACGCTGGAAGGCGGGCGGGTCCACGGGTGCAGGGGCAAGCAGGCGGACGGAGCATGCAGGTGAGTGGACAGGTGGGAGAGCGAGCAGGCGGGAAAGCGGGCAGGCGGGAAAGCGGGCGAGCAGGAAAGCGGACAGACCAGCGTGCGGGCCAGCAGGCAGCCGACGGCAGACATGCTGATGGCGAGTGCATTGGGCGAAGGCCCAGCACACAAGCACGGCCGACAAACGGAGCGCGCGCACGAGCTCAGGACGGGAGAACGACGATGGGCAGGGCCGGGGCATGCGGAACACGTCGACCACGAGTCCACAGGGCCAGTGCCCCGCGTGCAAACGCAGCCGACGAGCGCGCCATGGGTGCGGACACAGCGGCGAGCAGGCGGGAGGGCGTGCGGATGGCGCGTGAGAAGCGGGGACGAGCAAGCCCAAGCGGGCGAGGAGGATGGCGAGGACGGCGGGTGCGGGCAGCGAGCCCAAGCCTGCGCAGGGACCACCAAGGTACGCCAACCCGCGGTTCACTGCCACCACCAGCGGTGAACCCGGGTACAGGTAGCACCACCTGTGGATACGGGTACGCTCATCGCAGATGTGGCATGTCTCACCTAGTTTCTCGGCACATTCACCGTCTTGCATACCTGCCGTCTTGCACACCCGCCGTCTTACATACCCGCCGTCTTGCATACCCACCATCTTGTACACTTGCTGTCTTGCTCGCATGCTGTCCCATGTACCAGGTCTCCTGATTGGACACTGTTGCTCACGCTATAGTTTCAGTCTTGCTTGCCTATGGCCAACACTGCCATATTCATACTCTGTCACTGTATGGATGTGGTGGTTCGCTTTGAGCAATGAAATTCATTGTCAGTTGGTCCAACATGCACATACACTCTTCATAAGTGTACTGCAGTTGCGCTTGATATAGATGCGATATCATGATCATGTGTTCAGTGCAACCTCTATTAGCATTCAATAATATAGAAGTACAAAGGAGTGGACAACTAGAAGATATGTACACAAACTCGATAGTGGTCAGAGCACCCACTAAATGCGTGAACACTCCAGTGTTTTGCCCTCGGACATTGCCTCGGCCATGTCCCCGAGTCACCCGGGATGGTCTCATTCTCTTTATAACTTCACCTCTGTGCCACCATATGCTATGAGACTTTGTACCAAGCATGACTATGTGTAGTACATGGCTTGTATGAAATGCTGTGAGAATCGAACCGTGGGATGCATTTGTCAAAGACATGCTCTCCATGTATAACCTTCTTAGCTATCTCAAGCTATAACATTGCCAGATTGCTTCGTGGAATTGCCAGCAGCAACATGTACCATAGACACAGCATGAATACAACTTCTGTATGTACTTGATTGAAACAATTGTCTTGCAGAAGCTGAGATTTAATCCACATGCCTCTCAATATCTCCAAACAACATATCATTTTTGAAACATATCCTGAGATCCTCTTCCCATATGAGCTGAGATTACACAAAGCCAAAGTGCTCTTTACATATACAACAATGAGGCTAATGGCCTACGTGAGTGGCTTGCCTAATCTACTACATGTAGTTCCACAGCAAATTCAGTAGATCAGCGAAGTATCATCATTGTCAATTGCTGCGAGCCATTCAGGAATCACTCTAACAGAACAAGGAATACCTCAGTGTCTTACCATTGTATCTCTATTTGCTGATATACAGTTACTACATGGTGTATTGCACCTCAACACCGTAATGACTGTCTATAGTAGACACAGTCACGGTACAAACTTATATCGGACATGTTCAATAATACATCCAGACCATTGGCCCCAAACCAATGAGCAAACAGCATACAGTTTTGCACGTACATACCATTCAAGTCAAGTCAAGAAACAAGATGTGTACTTGCTGCCTTGTCAATGTCAAGGAGGTTATCACGATTCGAGATGGTGAGTGTCAAGGAGGCTTCTTGACCAGTCCGCCTTGATACCTCCAAGGAGCTCTCCGTCTTGAGATGTCCGTCTTGAGATGTCCATCTTGACAATGTCCGTCTTACCTTGTCCGTCTTAACTTGTCCGCCTTAACTTGTCCGCCTTAACTTGTCCGTCTTAACTTGTCCGTCTTAACTTGTCTGTCTTAACCTGTCCGCCTTAATTTGCCCGTCTTAACTTGTCCGTTTTAATTTGTCCGTCTTCACTTGTCCGTCTTGACACCTCCGAGAAGGCTTCTTCAATATGCTCGCCATCTTGATATCCTCCTTGACACTTTCCACGTTGAAACCTCATTGGTGTTTGCCCACCTAGATACCTCATTAACATGTTGGTATTGACCAAGATGAGCCAACCATGAGTTACCTTGGGTCAAGAAGGTCTTAGTGAGTAAGAAGGTCAAGAAGGTCAAGAAGGTCAAGAAGGTCAAGAAGGTCCAAGACGGTCGGCTGAGTCAAGATGGATATCGGCCAGGAAGGATACCTCAGCTGATGCTCGGCTCATGCATTGTCTTGGGTGAGACAAGACGGTCGGCTGAATCCAGACAGTGGTCGGCTGCAAGCCTTCTCCAACCGACGGTCGGATAGTGCATCGTCTTGGGCGAGACAAGATGGTCGGCTGAATCAAGACGGTGGTCGGCTACAGATTTTCTCCAGCCGAGAGTCGGATAGTGCATTGTCTTGGGCAAGACAAGAAGGTCGGCTGAATCAAGACGGTGGTCGGCTGCAAAGCTTTTCCAGCCGAGAGTCGGATGATGCATCGTCTTGGGCGAGACAAGACGGTCGGCTGAATCAAGACGGTGATCAGTTACAGATTTTCTCCAGCCGAGAGTTGGATAGCGCATCATCTTGGGTGAGACAGAATGGTTGGCTGGGCGAGAATGTCTGGTTCAGCCAATCATCCCACGCACCGCCTTGCCCGCCTTGTTCCGCCTTGCCCGCCTTGTGCTCGGCCGACTCAATCACCTTCCATGAGACGGTTTTGGTCGGCCGAGGTCGGCCCATCCCATCCCATTCCACGAGACTGCACGTCGGCTGTACCATGGTCATCCATGAGACAGCTGAATGGGCTCCAACGCTGGTTCGACGCAATGCGGTACCGTCCTTCCATGGTGTTGGACGTCCGTTCAAGTTGCCAACTGGCGAGCACTTCCGGGCTCATCGGACTATGCGCCAAGTACTGGAGCCCTGGTGCGTAGAAAGTACCTGAATAATGCGATTCGTTGGCCCACAGCACCTTCGCCAATCTCGCCAGTATCCCACATACGAAGTCTGGCTGTTCAAATGCTCGCTGAGGGATGCGGACGTGAGTGGGGAATCGGCAAGTACTGTGTCGCGCGCCACTCACGTCAAATGCAACAATCCTCTCTTCGGCTGCCAAGCAAGGCAAGGTCGGATTCGAGCCTGAGTCTCTGTGACACGGTGGATCCAGAGGCCGGCCGCCCGGGAGCTCGGGCTCCTTGACCTACTCGAGTGATGTGCGGATTTGTTGCGAGCGTGGGACTGGTTACTAGATGCGTCAGATAGGCTGCTCCGATTGCGAGGGTGTCGACCACCCAGCCCGCCGGTTCATGGTCTGACAGGAGCGCTCGTGATCGCGAATTGGCTCGTCCCACACGCGCTTCGACCCTGCTTCCGGCCACGACCTGTATTCTCGAGTCTCGACAGAGCTGACGATCTGCTGCGCCATGTTTGAAATATGCGACGGTCTCTTCCAGTCAACACGACTGCTGGAACTCGATGAAGCGACAGATGCTGCAGTTAAACATTAGCATCCGCGAAGCGCCTAAGATCACATCTTTACCAGTCGTCCGTTGTGCGCGTTTGCGCTGTCCTCGACTACTCGTCGCTAACTCATCGCTACTCCGCAGTACACCCCTCAAATCACGCACGGAGAGTGCCAAGATCATCGCGTGTTGTGTACCCACGGTCGTGTTGGGATGTCGGAATGTAGGGGAGGTGGTCGCTGAGTAGGCCAGCAGGAAACGCAGGGGCGTTCGGGATCGGACGAGGAGGGCTGGGCCTTGGTGAGTGGAGCAACACACAATAGCGCGAGTCGCCTTTCTCACCCTTCTTGCGCTGTGATCATATAGCTATATCACAAGTCACTGGTACATTTTGCAAGTGCCGTCGCAAGCTTGACCGTGACCTCTGAACGGCCTGTCATCGACTTTCGTAGACGCATATATACGGTCAGCCAGTCTGTCACAAGTCTGTCGGACAGCATCGTACGTATGTGATTTACTCTATACATTCCATCTTATCAATCATGACATTAGCAGGCCGATGGGGGCTCCTTTGCTAGAGCCTACGAGGAAGACGACGTCACGCTGGTAGCACAGTGAGCGTTCGACATACCACCGAGGGTACCGCCGGCAAGAACGGGGTCGCTCTGAAGGCGGGGATCCTCGACGCGGAAACTAAGCGAGCACCTTTTCCGTAGGAGAGCGCCAATCGCCGCACGCAGTGGACGGACGCATCCTGGTACGTTACGCAACACCACACCCCATCTCTCCACCCGCTCGTCTCTCCACCCCCACGGCAACAACACCACACCGACATTCTTCTGTACGCCTCTACTCGGAACTTCGTAGTCCATCGTCCCTCGGTTCTACAGCTACGTCTGTTTCATCGAGGACAAGGGTCTCGACTCCGACTCCTTGTCTGGCCAACACTCGCTCGTCGGCAACGAGGCGGGCTCCTTCTTCGACCATGTCCCCTTTCAACTCATTCAGGTTTGCGATAACTATCTTTTTTATCCAACAGATTCCTGATATAATGTGCAATGGGGTTGAAAATACATCGACAGAACCTTCCAGTCATTGTCACTGAGGTCTAGGCCCTACTTATGTAGACATTACAAGTGTTCTTCACCGGCTGCTGCTCCTCCCGGTTTGTCCCGTAGCGTAACGCGGACCGACGGACGTCTTGAAGACCGCGATCGAGTCCTGTTGGCAAGGTGGACGAGGCGGCTGCTATCACTCGGTTACCGACGCTCCGACGCGTAGCCAGGACCGACCCGCGCTGGGCAGTACGGTGAGCACTGAGTACTGAGCGGTCTTTGCCTGTGAGTGCACCGAGGCTGATGAGCTATCACGTCTGCGCTCTGAACTGCAGCGAGGCCCGCCGCGTACCGGGACACGCGCTATCGCCTTATGGTCCGCAGGTTCTTCGTCAAATCGTATGCTGCCCAAACGGTGTCCGCCTCCTTGACAAGCATCGAGGTGCAGGACGACACGACGTCCACGCCTAGGTTGGCCGGCCGCCACTCGCACCGAAACGGCACCCTGGGCTCGCTCGACCAAGCGATCAATATGGCGAGCGTCGTCGTCGCCGAGTGCGAATCAGTGCAGCTGATCCATTGTTCCTTCTCACATATAGTGGGATCCGAAGTACCGCATCCAATCCGCGTCATCTGCGCGCGGGCTTATCACGCCCTCTTCATGGCAAGTCGGTTTTTTGTTTCGTATCGCTGCGTCGGGCGCTGACGTCACACCTAGCAGAACAACATGCTCATCCGCCCGACGGAGGAAGAACTGAAGGATTTCGGCGAGCCGGAATACAACGCGGGCCAGCTCCCGGCGTACCGTTTCACGGAGGGCGTGAGCAGCACCACGTCTGTTGAGGTCAACTTCAAGCGTATCGAGGTGGTCATCCTCGGCATCGAGGATGCAGGTGAGATGAAGAAGGGTGTCTTCTCCGTCATGGTGCGCGTCGTCTTCCCGTCCCGTTGAATGTGACTGACGCCTGTGTGTAGCATTAAGTACCTCCACTGACCGGTGACCGCCCAAGTTCGGCCAGCGCTCGCTGCACTCGTCTGCCACCGACTCGCAGCCCTCTCCTAGCGACTTGTGGCGCTCTTTCATCGAACCACGACGCACTTGGACGGACGGACTACGCTATATATGGAACGGCCCCAGTTCCTCAAGAGCCGCTCATGGACTAGCAACATCTCGACGTATCTTCTTTGACGGACGACACTGGTATCACACTCCCCTAGATTTTACGAGGACCGTCACAGGCCCTGAGGCCTATCGCGGTTCTTTCACGGCCATGGAACAACGCAGCGCCACTCGAATAAATACAATGGCTCGGTAGGACAGATTCTTACAGAGCCTCGAGCTGCGTAAGTATGTTGTCTCTCGACCGCTGGTCCGGTGGAATAACGGGCAGGTGAACGATGCGCCATGGTACGCATCGCCCCGGTCTCTGAGGCGTCATGCCATCGTGTCCGTATGACTGCTTACAAGGGTCAGATGGATACGTCGCCAAGAAAGAGAGAGCGATTGCGCCAAAGACAAGATCCGTAGCTGTACGAAGGGGAGATAATGTTGATCAAGACTGTGATATTGTTTTTGGTGAGGCTCGTCTCTAGCCTCAGATTGGTGCACTTGCCGACAGCTATTCGCAGGATATCATTGCAATACTTTAGGGTCTGTCCAGTCAAGCTGCGCGCACCTGGCTTGGGCGAGTCCGGGTTTGCCATCGGCATGGTTCCACTCGCGTTGCGGCAACAGGTGTTCTTCCCTGGGTCGCTGACGCCCTCAGTCAGATGAATGTTGCTCGGCATTCGTACATCAATACGAGTGACTGTTGGTTCAGTCCGACTGTTTCCTCCCTCGCGAAGATGCATATACGCTCATTTATCATTCATGTGCAGAACTTAGAGAAGGCCTGGACTCTGACAAGTGCGCTGAACTTGGCGATGACCAACTCAACTGTTCCATTCAAGTTCAGGCCCAATACGATCGCGATAGCAGACGACTACGGGTTTATCTCTCGAAACTGAGGGTCAGCGACGGGAACGGACTTGATATGCTACGTACCGATGCGATTGTGTATACATACCCTCGCGCGCAACCACGACAGTAAATCAGGTGCAGGTAAAGCGGCAATCGCGTGCGTCACTCTGAAAACCGTTGCCTGGTTTGTCATCATACCTCAGTCATACCTGCGTACTCCTTGCAGTTCCGATGTATGTACTACCGTGAGCCAGTGGCACGGGCCTATGGATCTCCAACTGGAGTTGTTGCGAACGATGAGATAGCTCCCCAGTCTCCCAAGTAAGTAAGTTCCTTTTATCTCGCCTTCTTGTCTCCAATAGGAAGATTCACATCATACACCCTGGTATATACGGGGGGTTCAAATTTCAAACGTTGAGATTGCCACTACCAGACTGAATGCGGTACAAAACAGCCAGAAGCCGGTCTGCGCAACACGTCCACAATGCGCGAGAACCACTACTCTGCGTGGTGAGGTCCGATCGTCCTGCTATCCGACTGCGGAATGAACTTCGCTATTCAAAACGGTCTCCGAGTCCACTATCGAGGACCGCCACACACAGAAAATGGAGCATTAGAACGGTACGTAGCAGCAACATCCCGGCTCCTCCTTGAGGACCGTGAGCCGTCCCGGGTGTAGGCGACATCCTCGGTGGTGTCGACCCGAAGCGTACAGAGCTAAGTATGGCGGCGGACGCAGCGTTTGACGCTTCCACAGGCCATGCAGTTGCCCGCGGGGCAAGAGGCAGTTGACATAGATTGTCGTCGTCGTGGACACGGTCTAGTGGAGTGATGTAAGCGTCGAATCGGAGGCGTCAATGGAACGAAAGCCACCTCCTTGACGATTGAAGGTAAGTATGGTGGGAGGTCCGCTTGAAGGAACAGGCGGACATCCCTTACGGCCACCGCGGCGCTGATAAGTGGACCAGCGCGTGGCACGTCGGTGATGGCGAGAGGCTGTCTTAGAAGGCGGGCTGTGGGGGAAGAGCCGAGTGCGAGGTTTGGGTTCTGTTTGATGATCAGAGAACAGGGATGCCGATGTGCGCGTGGTACCTGGAGCGTAACCGAGCCTTATGAGGGTCAGGCTGACGGCCAGTCTGTGAATGAACAACCGCTACCCACTTGACCCGGGACCCATGTGAGCGAGATCACAAAGATCTATTGAAAAGACGCATCAGTGAATTGTGCGTAGAGCAGATCAAAATGGACGCACTGTACTAATGCAGGCTACGCGTCTCGAGGCCCCATGCCGAGGTGCACCACAACTCTAGTGCATTTCTTGCAGGCTCTACAGAAGCCCTCGTGGCGCGCCCGATGTCCGGAGTAGAGAACATCCACAATTCGACAGAGACGCCGATGCGGTGGTTCCAGGAAAGACTTGAACAGCCATGACAGCGTACCGTGCGTTGATCGTCATAGCAGGGGAGAAGTCGACCTCGGACGACGGTTCGACTTGCGAGTACCACGGACGCTGCTCCAGGAGACAAGTGAGGCGAGACCTAAGCAAAAATAGCATCTCCAGAGACCGCAGGAGCAGGAACGCTGTCTAATCGGCGAGATCGAACATATGTCAGTGCCACCACGACGACATTTGACAAGTCCAACTCACGCGCATTCTCTGCGACGGTGGACGACTGGGCCGCGTAGGAGTCTGCCAGACCGCGCTCGAGTGGTCGAATAGTAGGAGACAAGCCGGGGAATGCCTAGAGGTCCACCGGGAAGAGAGGTCGGCTGGTCGTCATCGCCGCCTAGGGATGAGGGACGAACCTGGCGTCGCATACGAAGCTAGCCACGTCAGAGGCCGTACCGCCTACGAGCAAGACACCGACGGGATCCGTCAATATATCTCCGACCCCGTTGCGCATAGAATCAGGAATATGTCGGACGGAGGAGATAGTGATTACGAAAACCGGGATGAGTTAGGAGAGGGTGTGGTCGATCAGGGTGACCGGTGACTCACTGCGTCATTGCGCCGCGCGCGTTGTTGCCCTGTCTCCTCGCCCGACCTCCCTCGACCTTCTGCGTCTCGTGTTCGAGTAGATCTCCGTCGACGACCGATGCCGTCATGCGATGACATCGGTCCTGTCCGTACGTGGGCTGCTGGTGTTCTGCGGAGGAGCGATGACTGGTCGGGTACAACCGCCGACGACCGGTAAAGATGTGATCTCAGGCGCTTCCCGGACGCTAAATTTAGTTCCGTAGTAGTCGACGCTGTGTCAGAGTTCCTGACCATCTCCTTCCCTTCACATGCTTCACAGCTTAAGCACCTGGACACAAAGCCGTTTCAAACATGGCTTGAAGACGCTGCACGCATACGTGGGTTCATTTTACGATGGAATATGTAAGTATACCGATCGGGCGACATGAGGTATGTAAGGCGCCTTACTCGTCGTGCCTCGTATGCGCTGCACCCAGTCTCTATTCAAGGAGTACTGTCTACAGAGTGCATACAAAGGCGGTGACGAGGTAAAAGGCTGAGGTCTCGTAGGCGCACAGGCGCGCCATACGAGCCCTCAGGCAAACAATGACAAACATATGAGACGAGACATACCGTAACGGGAATATCCGTTACACCCTCCCCCACTGGACACGACCACGGGTCCCAGCGATAACCAGAGAAACATAGAGAAAAGGAAAAGGAAAGGACTAGTACATGCAACAACCCGACGGTGGTAGCAATTGGCAAGACAAGGGTGATGTCGAACTGTAGACAGCGACAAACTACTTCGCGTCAGTGAGCAGACACGACCGTTCACCATTGTCATACACCACTCGACAGAGTTGTGCAACCAGCAGGTAGGCTACTACTCGGACTCAGAGTAGTAGTCTGCATCTTCAGAGTTACCCTCGTCTTCAGCAGATAGTGCAGAAGAACTGTAAGTATCCTCCATCTCGGACTGCTCGTAGTAGTCAGAGACTACTACTGAGTTTGTCCCCTCAGAACCTGGATCCGAAGAATCCCACGAGCTATGATGCTCAGACTCGGAGAGATACTCTGACTCAACATGGTCAGAGTAATCCTCGCGAGTTGTGGTACGGGGCTCCTCATCAGAGGAGTTGTACCAGTCGGAGTCATCCTGAGGTCGACTGCGAGGTGGTACAACAAACCATCCCAGCTTGTTGTAGGCCCAATGTCGCACCATCTCCATAGGAAGTGGTGCAATGAGTCGAGGGTCGAACTCGAGTGGAACCACTTCCAGCTCCCTCTGGAAGTGGTCCCATGCTCGACGAGCTGCACGAGAATATGTCCTCGGTCGCGGGGACATCTCCTCGATGGCATGCCCACAGCTAAGTGCTGACTCTTGCAGTGAGCCCAAATGTCCCACTCGCCAGCACTCGCCGCAAACTCAGCCTCGTCGAGGTCGAGGTCAAGTTGGTCTGCAAGGAGGGTGAAGCACTCCTCACGCAGCACCTTGTCCATGGGCCATTGACTCCATCAACAGTCACTGGCTGATTCGGTGCAGTCGGTACTCGGTTCAATGCTGGTACGTCGCGGCGCGAGGTACTAGCTTCCCGAGTAAGGTCATGGCCGCGACGGTCACCTGTATTCTGTACGTCGAGTCGATCGCTCGACACGCGTGGTACAGGTGGTACCTGTCTCGATGTTCGACGTGAAGCTCGTACATCGAGCTCAACGCTGGATGTACGGCCCGTGACTGCGTCCGATCCCAGTACAACACTATGTGATGTACTGGCCACTCGTGAAGTGTACTGCACATTGAGTCCCTGGCTCGATGTGCGAGTAGCTGACCTTCGTGTCGAGTCCCCATGGATAGCCTGTACGTCAAGCTCACGGCTTGGCGTCCATATCACTGCCGGATCCGAGGCCAGTACATCTCGGTGTGATGTACTGGTGGTGGTGTGGAACAAGCGGTGGCCGCTTGAGGCCCCGCTCCCTTCCCCTCTCAGGAGGGTGTCCCCCCTCGCGGCGGAGGTAGCTCCTCCCTGTGCTGAGTCCAATGAGTCCAGCCCTCGCGCTGGCTGTTCCTTCTTACGGGCGCGCGACGACGCCCTGGTCGTCGCGTCATTCGATGCGGGCACATCACCCAGTAAGCCGGATGCACCCGCCACACCACACGGTCCAGGTAATTGTACCCGCGAGGACGAGGATTCGTCCTCGTCAATGGTCCCTTGCCCTGGAACTACCGACGTGACCTCGTCAGTCCCCGTCCCTTCATTTGACTGCGCTGGGTCCGGGGAAGAAGGCAGCACATCCGTCTTGGATGTGCTCGGCAGCAGGTACTGGTCTTGTTTGCTGAATGTGTCAAGTACCTCGCGGTACTTGGCGTGGTGTTCGTCGCCGTAATCCGCGGCCAGTCCACGTCGGTCTTCGAGGTGCTGCCCGTGGGCGCGACGTGCTGGTAGCACGTAGCGTCCCGTCGGTCGCCATTCGTTCTCGGGTGCAGCCTGTCGTACGTCTACCATGGTAGACGTCTCGGTCGACTGCTCGCGATCTACCGACTGGGGCTCATCCGCTTTCCCATCCTGACGTTCGTTCACGACGATTGAATGTTTCGTCCCAGCGCGACACGGCGGTGGCACTGCAACCAAAGAAGATGAGTTGGCGAGTACCTCATGGTACTCGCCCTTGGCAGTCGGACAATCATGTCCGTCTGCCGTATGCTCTGAGTGCGAATCCAGTGGGTGTGCGAGTTCCCTGAGGTACTCGCACTCCTCCTTAAGAGGATGTTCAGCGGCACCTACATCGAGCATAGAGCTCGATGGCAGTGCCGCACCAGTCGTGACGAGGCGGGGCGAGTCGGTAGTGCATGTAGTATGCGTTCCGAACGCACCGCCATGCATGGCTGCTGATGCGACTACGCTGTCGCTTTGTGATGTGGGCGGACCACCGTCGATTGCGACGACCTTCCGGGTGGTCGCGATCGACGCTGGTAGTAGTACAGTAGGTGATGGTGGCGGGGCGAGTACCGCGAGGTACTCGCCGTCCGAGTCGCCGCCGAACTCCTTAGCATAGACGTCGGTCGAGAGGCCCGACGTCTGTGCATGAGTCGTGACCGTGTTGGATACATCGGATGAGCTCGCTCGCTCGCCGATCGTACCGCGTTGCCTGGCTGTGCCAGGTGCGACCTGTAGGTCGCCTCCTGGGTCATCCGTGCCCTCGTCGTACGTGGTGGCTGCCACGACAACCGCATTGGTTGTCGTGGTCGTCACAGATGGTGGTAGGGGGGCCGGAGATGGTGGTAGGGGCGAATTAGGTACGCCTAAAGGAGACGTACCTGTCGTCGAGCTATCCCGCTCGACTCGTTCGTCCTCTGTGCTTGCCCTGCACCCTTCCCCCTCTCCTCCGTCTACCGGAATCTTCCCGTCTGCCTCTCCTGCCTTCACGACCTCATCGACGTCTCCCTCATCCCCGTCCTGATCCTTCGTTCGTCCTGCGCGCGACCTCCGGGGTGTGCTCGCGGTCTCCGACTCGATGGGCCTGTCGTAGTCGCCATGGGTGTCGGGGGCCGCGGGGAGGTCGATAGGATGTTGGGTGGGGTCCCCTAGGAGTGAGCCCTCGCCGAGAACTGTGAAGTTCTCGTCGGGTTGACGGTCGGGACACCGTTCTGGCGTGTCGGGGTCCGTAAGCGCCGGCTGCTGCACTAACGGTAGTGCAGCAATCAAGTCGCGATCTCGAGCTCGCGCATTCGTTGGGAATACGCGAGCTTCGATCTGCGCGCTCGCCGGGGCGCCGGGGTCGCGAGTAGGGGGTAGTGGTGGCTGGAGAGGTCGAGGTTGAGGTCGAGATCGTTCGTAGGACCCGCCAGTTGAACCGCGTACGGTTCAGCTGCGCACGAGCGATTGCTCGGCCGCACGTCCGTCGGGGCGATGCGGCAGTCCTGCACCGAGTTGAAGCGCAATGGGTTGCTGCTCTGAATGTGAGCGAAGTCCGCAGCTTCGTCCAGCCGGTCGAGGTCGTCTCGCGGGCTTGCCAGCTGAACCGCGACCAGCTGAGCTTTCTCGAAGAGACCAGAGGCTTGCACTTCCGACAGGAAGTGCAAGTCTTCTTGAATGGTGTTCGCGCGCGGCTGGTGGCTGCTGGAGGTGTCGAAGTCGGAATCGTCCATGGAGTCTAGCAGTTGAACCGCGCGCGGTTCGGCTGCGCATGGACGGTCGCTCTGTCGCACGTCCGTTGGGGCGATACGTGCGTCCTGGGTCGCATGCGTGACGGTTCGGCAGCCTTCTGCGTCGACGTCGTGACCAGGCGATTGGCGGTCGTAGACGAGTTCGTCCGGGGAATCTGCCAGTTGAACCGTGGATGGTTCAGCTGCGCACTGAGGGTCGCTCGCCAGAAACCTTGCGGGATCGAGCGCGTTGCGGGAGAGATCGTCGGGGTCGCTCCATGGCTCGGCCAGCTGAACCAAGGGAGGTTCAGCTGTGCTGACACTGTCGGAGGCCTGCACTTCTGCAAGGACGTGCAGTCCTTCTTGATGCGCCGCTGGTCGCGCAGTATGGCTACCCGACGAGTTGTCAGTATCATGCGGCGGATGGTGATCACGAACGCCGTGTACGTCGAGCGACGAGCTAGACGTACACGCTGCATCGCATGCAGTCGAGGTCCAATTGGGCACGTTGGGCATGCATCGCTGCATGTCCATCGTGCCGCCTCGCGAATTGAAGGGTGTGCTCTCTTGAAGAGCGGGCTCGACCCCGGACAAGAAGGATGTCGAGATGGGTACGTCCATCAGGGGCGTACCTTCAGTTCTCGACCCTTCGTGCTGGTCGGTAGCGTGTACGTCGAGCATCAAGCTCGGCGTACTCGCTCTCCATGGATCGGTGATGGACAAATGGGACACGTTGGACGTGCACTGCTGCGCGTCCACTGTGTCGCTTTGCGAGATGGACGGTACGACTGCGAGGTCGTCCCGTAGCACAGTCGTGCTATCTTGCGGAGCGGAAGGTACGACTTCGCAGTCGTACCTGGTTCCGTGACCAGCGGTACGCTCGACGAACTCCGTGTTCATCGATACGCACGCTGGCGGGGGTACTGGCACAGGCGGAGGCGAGGTGGGTACGTCCAGCATGGGCGTACCTTCGACTTGCGAGTCTTCCTGCTCGCTTTCCCTGCTCGCCCCGCACCCTTCCTCCCTCTCTCCCTTCGTGCCTTCCTCGCACCCTTCTCGTTCCTTCGGGATTTCCTCGCCGCCTCCACGATCCGCGTTCCTCGTGGTCCGCTCGGTCTTGCAGCTCGGCGCTGGGCTTGAACGCGCAGTGTTCAAGTCCTGGGTCGCGCGGCTGGGTTGCGTGTCGCCAGAGCCGCGGTATTGGTTGCCAGAGTCAAGACGCGAGTCGAGAGGGGTGAGGTGAGGAGCCGGGGAGGGAGGAATTGGCGATCTGGTACCGTGAGGTACCAGGTCGTCGGTCGCCACTGACTGGACTGGCGGTAGGTCAGCCAGCCATTCGCGAACGCGAGTTCGCACTCGCGTTGGGGCCGCGCGCGTGTCTGGTTCGCCAGACGGGCGCTCGAGGTGGCTGCCCAGAGAGTGGGAGTGGTCGAGGACGTGGAGTCGGTGGTGGCGGTCGAGTGCAGTGCGGTGAGCGCTAGCACTCAGGGCGCTCGCCACGGACCCGTGACGCTCGACGCCCGTAGGGTCGAGCGCGTCGCGCGTCGCGTCGAGCAAGTTGCTCGACATGGCGCACACGTCATTCGACAACGAATATATATTTTTTGTGTCGCGGCTCATCTCTGAACACGCGACGAGCGTATCTACACGCGTGGGCTCGTTCCCACTGCACACAGTACTACTGTAGTACTGTGTGCCTATGCCCTCCCGGGTGCTGATGCGAGTCAGCTCCTGGTGCTGCTCGTTCAATCCAGGCACGAGCTCGACTACGGCTACGTTGTCGAGCTCGGCGCGCTCACCACTCCTCAGAGTGGTGCCGAGCTTCATCGGCTGGGTCGAAGCAGGTGGAGAGTCGGTCTCCGGGCGGTTTTGAGCGGGCTCGACATTGGGCTCGAGCCGCTCAGTGCGCGGTGCCTGTTCGACCTCACGGTCGGACGGCGCCTGCTCTGTGAGGGCTCCGGCTGAGTCCTCGCGGTGAGAGGACTCAGTCCGGGTGGTCTTCGTGCGAGAAGACCGACTGCGGCTGCTGGCCTCGGACAGAGCGGCGTCGACCGTTGCCAGCAGTTCGGCCTCGAGTTGCTTGGATTCCTCGAGGGCTTTGTTGATCCGCTCTTGACTTGCGGCGAGCTTTGCTCGGACTTCCGCACGCAACGCCTTCAGCTTGCTGCGGGTTCCACTGTGGGACCCGCGGCTGCCTCGCGAAGGTGCGGACGGGGTGTTGGTCGACTCGGACATCTTGTCGAGTTGTCGAGTTGGCCAGAGGATGATCAAAGTAGCATAGAGTTTGTTGATGTCAAATTTCGAGGTTCGAGAGTTTGTTGCCTAGAGTAGATAGTCCCCAGAGAGATAGAAGCTTTTCTGGAGCGCAAAAAAGTGTAAGGCGCCTTACTCGTCGTGCCTCGTATGCGCTGCACCCAGTCTCTATTCAAGGAGTACTGTCTACAGAGTGCATACAAAGGCGGTGACGAGGTAAAAGGCTGAGGTCTCGTAGGCGCACAGGCGCGCCATACGAGCCCTCAGGCAAACAATGACAAACATATGAGACGAGACATACCGTAACGGGAATATCCGTTACAAGGTACCACGCATAAACGTGCCTATGGCACGATAGGAGTCAGGCGCAGTGTGCGAGAGGGCTGTCTGGGACGAGAGAAGCGTACGGTAACGAGCGTACGAGGGCGAATGAAGCCCGCGAGGACGTGAGTATTCAGGCGATGTTGAGCCGAATCTACCATCACGATTCAGGATCATAGCAGGTCCGAAATGAAACCTGGACGCGTGAGCATGCCGCCCATACCTTCGTCTCGCGCGCATCTTCAAGAGTCGGAC